ACAGTTTTATTTTCCTGGAATGCTCTTCCTCTAGACATAGTCACAAGGCTCACTTCCTCACACCTTTCAAAATTTAACTCAAATGACATTTCAGAGAGGTCTTCTCTGAGTCTTCTACTTAACACTGCACCTCAGCACTCCTTCTGCCTCTTCCCTTTCCTGTTTTTCATTATGACTTTGATCACCTTCTAACGTTTTATAATTTTTCCAATTTTTTTCATCTGTTCACAATCTAATAAACTACACAAAGGCAAGGATTATCAAATGTTTTCTTCATTGATATGTACTAGTACCTAGAACAATTCCTGATACATAGAAGGGCTTAACAGGCAATGAGTGAATACATATTAATATTGGGATTTGTTAAAAAATAGAACAATAGAAAAATTACAATATGGTTTGAACAGCATTATACCATGCCAGGGAAAAAAGATGTGGATTGTGATAGAGGTACAGCAGTCATCAAATATTGTCTACTCTGAATTTCCCTGCTAACTTGGCAGCTATGCAGACTTATAATTACTAATACAACAAATAAATTGGGAGTGGATGGGAAGTATGTCAATTATGGGATGAGGCAGTAAAGGTTCCATGTATTATTTTCCAGTCTCTTGTCATTACTCTGGTCACTAAAGATGTCATATATTTCAGAGTTTGACCAGAATAGGGTGGAACTGCCATTAGCCTCCATCCCTGAGTGATTGCACGGAGAAAGTACCCTACCAATTGATGTAAGGCAAGAAAAATACTTGTGTTAAGCCACAGAAATTTGGGTTGTTCGTTATTGCAACCTTATTCTGACTATATGCAAATGTATGTACACAAACTAGCATTTATTAAGCACGTACTATATTTCAGGCACTATTATTTTAGTAAAGTTTCACCAAACTCTGCAAGCCTGTACTATTATACTGAGGTAAGGAAACTTGGACAATGTGAGGACAAATCATTTGTCCAAGGCTGACAGCTAAATGGAAGGGCTGAAAATGAAACCCAGGCAGTCTGAAGCAACATCTACCACGCTGTTAACAGTGGTTGTTAACAGTGATTGATATAGTTTGGCTCTGCGTCCCCACCCAAATCTTATCTCCAAATGCAACCCCCATGTGTTCAGGGAGGGACCTAGTGGGAGGTGATTGGATCATGCTGTTCTTGCGTCAGTGAAGGATTTCTCACAAGAGCTTATGGTTTTAAAAGTGTTTCGCACTTTCCCATTTGTCCTCTCTCTCTCTCCTGCTGCCTTGTGAAGATGTGCTTTGCTTCCTCTTGCCTTCTGCCATGACTGTAAATTTCCTGAGGCCTCCCCAGCCATGTGGAACTGAATCAATTAAACCTCTTTTGTTTATAAATTACCTAGTCTCAGATACTATCCTTATAACAATGTGAAAACAGAGTAACATGGCGGTTATCTTTGAAGGCAGAAATATGGAGACTGATCACTCTTTGTTCTATATTTCTGTAATATTTCAAGATTTTTTTTTTTGTTTTTTCTTGTTTTTGAGACACAGTTTCTCTTTTGTCACCCAGGCTGTAGTGCAATGGTGCGATCTCAGCTCACTGCAACTTCTGCCTCCCAGGTTCAAGTGATTCTCCTCCCTCAGCTTCCCAAGTAGCTGGGATTACAGGCACCCACCACCACACCTGGCTAATTTTTGAATTTTTAGTAGAGATGGGATTTCAGCATGTTGGCCAGAATGGTCTTGAACTCCTGATCTCGGGTGATTCCCTCCCCCCCACCTCAGCCTCCCAAAATGTTGGGATTACAGGCATGAGCCATTGTGCCCAGCCCAATATTTCAAGTTTTTAAGCAATCATACATCATCTTCATAGTAAGCAATAAATAAATAAACTAGATAAACTGTCAGATACTTAAAGACTATGAATTCAGAAATGGAAGTCAAGTGATCATTGGAGATTGGTGTAATCAAAAAAATTCTAAAAATGAGTTTCTACCATCTATAGGCATATGTAGCTGGGACTACAGGCGCCCACCACTACACCCAGCTAATTTTTGTATTTTTAGTAGAGATGGGGTTTCTCCATGTTGGCCAGGCTATTCTCGAACTCCTGACCTGAAGTGATTCACCTGCCTCTGTTGAGAAATGTTGAGTGTATGATTGCTGAGAAATGCTGAGTGTATGATAAAATATATTGTTTGCTAGGAAGAACAATGGCAAGGGAAATCTAGCTGCCCCCTGCAAGTAGAAAACTACTTGGGGCATTCTAAAGTGGCAGGACAATATATAAATATCATATACCAGTTAAAACAATTCTTTAAGTCAGGATATGTGACCCTGCCCCCATGGCTCTTTCATGGAGAACATTTTTTAGTTTGTCTGTGATCGGTTGTAAGTGGGCACCCGCTGCCCACCTAGTATATTTTTGTGTTATGAGAAAATACCAAACATCTGTTTGACAATGATCATCACCTGTTCAGTGAGAATAAATGTGTGGGTCAGAATCTGCTTGAGGCCCTCAGCCCCCTTAGCTCTCAGCTGGGAAGGTTATTGGCCCCCTGGATAGTCCCACTTTGCTGTTCCATCTGGGTGTCTGCTTCTCAATTCCTTCAGTGCCACCTGGGTCGGGGGGTCTCTACTGCTGAACTGGTTCTTGGTACACCTCAGCCTCCCAAAGTGCTGGGATTACAGGCATGAGCCACCATGCCTGGCAATCTGATGGTTTTAGACAGGGGAGTTCCCTTGCACATGCCCTCTTGCCTGCTTCCATGTAAGATGTGACTTTGCTCCTTCTTTGCCTTCCACCATGATTGTGAGGCCTGCCCAGCCATGTGGAACTATAAATCCATTAAACCTCTTTTACTTTATAAATTACTGAGTCTTGGGTGTGTCTTTATTAGCAGCATGAGAACAGACACACAGCCTCACTCAAGAACAAAAAGAAAGAAAGAAAAATTTGCCAGGTGCAGTAGCTCATGCCTGTAATCCCAGCACTTTGGGAGGCCGAGGTGGGTGGATCACCTGAGGTTGGGAGTTCAGGACCAGCCTGACCAACATGGAGAAGCCCCATCTCTACTAACAATACAAAAAATTAGCCAGGTGTGGTTGTGCATGCCTGTAATCCCAGCTACTCAGGAGGCTGAGGCAGGAGAATTGCTTAAACCTGGGAAGCAGAGGTTGCAGTGAGCCAAGACTGTGTCATTGCATTCCAGCCTGGGCAACAAAATTGAAACTCTGTCTCAAAAAAAAAAAAAAGAAAAGAAAAATTATAGCTGGGTGCAGTGACTCATGCTTATAATCCCAGTAATTTGGGAGGCTGAGGTGGGCACATGGTGGCTTGAACTCATGGCTAGTCATGAGTTCAAGACTAGCCTGAGCAATGTGGTAAAACCTCGTCTTTACTAACATTACAAAAAATTAGCTAGGTGTGGTGGTGTATGCCTGTAGTGTCAGCTACTCGGGAGGCTGAGGTGGGAGGATTGCTTGAGCCCAGCAGGTAGAGGTTGCAGTGATCTGAGATTGTGCAGCCATACTCTAGTCTGGGCAATACGGCAAGATCTTGTTTCAAAAAGAAAAGGAAAATTGCTTGAGTTTCACTTGCATTATGGAAAAATAGCGCCCACCTTATGTAATAGGACTCATATAAGTATCAAATGAAATAATTTATAAACATGTTTAGAGAATATCTTAGCCTGTTTTCTGTTACTGTAATAGAATACCCAAGACTGGGTAATTCATAATAAAAAGAAGTGTATTTGGCTCTCAGTTCTGGAGGCTGGGAAGTCCAAGACCATGGTACCAGTATCTGTTGAGGGTTACCCTATGGGTGAAGGTATCACATGGAAGGAGTGGTGTAAGAGGAAGCAAGAGAGGGAAGAGCTCAACTCATCCTTTTTGTCAGGAACCCACTCCCACGATAACAGCATTAATCCATTTGTGAGGGCAGAGCATTCATGACCTAATTACTCCTTAAGGGCCTCACCCTCTTAATACTGTACCATGGCAATTAAATCTCAATGTGAGTTTTGGAGGGGACATTAAAACCATAACAGATAATTATAACTTGAAGACCATATTAAGTATGCACCATATTTCATCAAATCTTAGACACATCCATTGTATGACACACCATTAATGTATATACCACTAAGAAAGAAACAATGTGACTAATTTAAAATTATAATATCACTTGGAACTTTTAATACCTAGTGAAACAACTCTTTTATACTTAATTAGACATGGATTGTTATATCTAATTCCTATGCAAACATTAAGAGGAAAATATAAATGAAATAAACTGGTTAAGGTATTTTTTTCTTTTCTTTTTTTTTTTTTTTTTT